GTTGTTCTCCAGCAACAAATTTCTTCCCAGATATTCTGCCTGATTTAATCTCAACACAAATAGCCAGAAGATAAATGGAATCATTTTGTTGCTATAGCAATACGATATGTTAGACAAATAGATCAGAAGGTAAACAGTGATTACCTAACTGCGAAAGATAATTATTACCCATGATGCAAAGTAAACGTCTTACAATCCTTCCATATTGAAATTGACCAAGAATCAGTACGACTGACGACAAGAAGATCTAAAATCACTGGACTGCAACTAAAGAAACACAATGCCATTAATCATGCCCAGTTTGAAGAGCTGGCTGCACGACTGGCCTATAATATGGAAGTGGGACAGCTGGAGATGACCTATTGACTGGCAAGATATCCGTCCACAAGCACCATGTCACAACCTTCTAGGCCTTTAAAACATCTTTGAGTACAAAACTCATTTTGGCAGGCGTCCAAATTTTTACACAGCTTTTCTTCTACTAAAACATTAATCAAAAAGAATACTCCTAGTGAACTAGTCACTGCCCAGATGTTGAACACAAAGTACATAAACATATCAAAGTGTGAATGGGGATTACTCCATTTTCATAACTGATAAATTCAACCAGCTTTATTTAACCGAGAAGATGCACTAGTTCTTTGAAATTGCACACCAATACTGTAGTTTGGTGGAGAAAGAAATAATGACAACACGAAATAAAGTCGTTTCGGAAATGACAATATCAAAACCAGTCAATGTGAAAACAACAATGAGAACCGGAGACAGGTTCAGTTTACCTTGGAAGCGTTCCAACACAAGTTACCATAACTCTTATTGAAACCACTCTCTGCCATAACCATTAAATTCCCAATTTCTAATTATAATAGAGTTATTTAACACTTATGACACACCAGCCAAAATTGATTTGCCAAACCTCAATTCAATGCAAGGAAGTATTAGTAATGAAAACACTAAATACGGTACAATTATGTTACTTCACGCTAGCAAATGAACGCCCAACCTTTTTTTTTTTATGTACGCTTATGAAGGACAAATTAAATCGCCATTGATGCCTGAAACTAACCAAGTTACCTCAGAAAAGTTATCAAGTCTCCTCTCCTGTGTGTTGGCCAATAATTTTTAGTAACTGGTCAGACTTAATGCATTTTATCAACCACAACTTCTAAAGAAAAGTTTAGTTTCACCCACCTACACACTATAAAAGTACACCCACAATAAAACTGACTCAATGGTCGCTACTGCAGTTGGAAGAATGATTGATAGGGCCTTTCAATACACAAAAGTGGCAAAATAAATCAATCGATAACCTCTTGGCCAATCCCTTGGCAATGACATCTATGCCTAGCCTGCCTATCCCGGTAACCGGTATATTAGATCTAACCAAGCCACACGAACGACCACATGTTATGTGTGCAATATGAAAGAAACCCTGAACTGGTAATATTGATGTCCATTTTTGCATTTGATCATACCATGCAGAAATATTTTAATGGTTTTAATTTCACTTTTATCTTCAAATTTTATCTGCAATAGCTTACATGTATGAATGAGAAGAATTCAAATAGTTGCAAACATGGAGACGGGAAAATGGAGCACAAACTGAACATTGATTGTAATCATTTTTGGCATTGAAAAGTTTTCAAACATCCCGCATATCTTTTATGAGCATTTGCCAAATATAATCAACTAGGTTAAAGGTTAACTTGAACTATCAAGAGAAGCAATCTAAGGAGTAGCCAACTTATCATACCAGGACAGAGTTTAGCAAACAGATAAGTAATAGAATGCAAGTGTGGTTTCCCAGTCTGTGTTGACATGTCAACTTTGCCAATTTTAGACGGCTTCTAAATGCTCTTAAGTAAAAACATAACTCGCAGCCACTGAATTTTAACAAGTTCAAAATCTAAACTTTCAAAATGTTTTATTGCAGTAAGACCTGCCTGGTTATAGTCCAAAGTTTTAACATTTGCATGTGACATTTTGTAAAGCTACAAGTCTTTGAGGAACAGGAAGAATTTAAATTTTATAGCCACACATTATTATTTGTATTACTAACTGAAAGATGCATCTATGGACTTTACACAAATAACATGCCCAAACCATCACCCCCCACCCCCTACCCCCAGTACCCTCCAACCCAAAGTTTAAGTTTTTAATAATGCATGTTATAAAGGCAACTCTCCCACAAAATATCACATTGTAGGGACAAAATTTTAAGTTCAAATTCTTTCAACTTACCAATGAACTCTATGGCTTCGGGAAAGAAAGCTGACAAATTCTGACTCCAGTGATCATTAATTGGTATCTGCATGTACTTAAATTCTCCATCCCTCTCAAAACGATTCGGTATGTTCGGCGTCACATTTAAAATGTATTTTATCCCATGCTTGGAGAGTTTCTCAATGTTTTTCGAGTCCTGGGCTGAGCCAAGAAATAAATAGGGTAGGATCTCCACTGGAAAATTATTGTCAAGTGGTGTTTCTGGACAAACGTCCGAATCGTTGCAGTTTATATTCAGACCTTCCATTCCTATTGTAAGCGTGTCTTCGCAGTCTTTCTGTTCGCACGAGTTTGGGTAAAACTCTCGAAACTGGCAGAATCCCCCTGGAATAGCGGACAAAAACAACATGATCAATAGCCGCACTGGAAATAATCGATACAACGTTGCATAAAAACATCCGTTTCATATCGAGAACAGAGACAGGGAAATCGATTAGTATTTTCGAAAGACGTTCAGTAAATGTACAGCAAGGACGTTAACGCTTGTGGGTGTGCGCACATATGTGTGTAAACTACGGGGTACTACAATAATAAATACACAACCCAATATTCGTACATTGATAATAATGCGCTTGTTTGTTTCAGGTCGACGAAAAATCGACGTGTGTAGGTCCCGTTTGAATCGCATGTTGAACTATATTATACTAGATGAAGTCACTGAGACGATGGCCGACGTTTACAATTTTACTATTATGACAGTTTAATTCAACATTTCGATGTGTCAACCGTTTGAAATTACGGGGAGTATATTGAATTTAGTGAACATTGGTGCCGATTTATAATTACTGTAAGGTGTATAGTAATAGAATGTACATTTTAAAAACATACTTGCATATAATGAATGCTAACGACTATATACCGTACCTTGTAAATAACATACACGGCAGCCATCTTCCTTCAGCTTCTTGAGAAGTAAGCAGATCACGCTGTCCGAATTCTCGTTTAAATTTAATGTGCGTTCGTCGTACAGTACAACAGTCCCAATTTTAGACTTTTTTACGAATTTTTCCTTTCCATGTTCGCTGGGTATCAGTGTTTTAAAACAAACTTTACCCTTCCTAAGACGGCGAAGTAGTAGGCTTGGCAGCGTAACATTAATCGCACCTTCAACGTGCGATTGGTTGAAGTCTCGAGTCGTTCTACAGTCGAGCACAACCAAATTATCGTTCGTGGTAAGTTCCCGGTGTAACCATGCCGGTTCCCTGCCTTGTAGCGTGGCTTCAGAATCGAGAGTCATTTCTGTGTTCAAGTTTTCAGGCATTCGAACGACTAATGTAAATACACCACCTGAGAGAAGTTGTCAACTGCAAATGTGTTTGGCACGTACGAGGCGGCAAGTTTGGACACACGAGGACTCTACGATAGTCTAACAGTAACAGAGTTGCGTACAAATCCCGGTACAAATCATTCGGCTGGACTGTTACAACAGCGCTCCAAGTCTAATTCCCCGTTAGAATAATGTGAAGTTGGTAGAAATGTTGTCAGCGGAGTCCACTAGTATACATACGTGAAATCCGTGATTCCGCGCTGATTCCCAACTACTAGCACCCTAGCACATTGACAGGCAAGAAGCAGTTTTATCTTCTAACAAAATACGGCCAGCAAATGATCAATCGTATTTTCTTATCCAATCAGCTTCCACGTCGTTACTGACATCACTGATTAAATTATGGTCGCTATAGCAACCGTTCGTCTGAATTAGTATAAAAGCGATTAGGTTTCCTCGAAGCCACGCCTTTTTTAGCCTTGTGGTTTTTCAATCAAATGACCCCCGCGGCGCTGGCATTTCCGGCCGTCGTGTATTCAAAGCAAACACTTGAGGGTTCTCATTGAGCCATAGAGCTAGGCAAAACATAGTTTCCTCATTACCTATTATCTAATATTCAAGTTGAAAGACAAATGGAAGTATTATAATCCACAGTGTATTTTTTTTAACACAACAACTCATGACTGGCAGGGTCGCGTTCATGTGTAAAACGGGCGTGAAGTAATGCAAATCAGTATTTTGAATCGTATGTGAACTCGTTCATATGGGTCACTGTTGACAGCAGTTCAACACATCGTTGGTATCGCATGTCTGGCGGGTCCCATTTATAAATTATCACCAAATGTGTTTTTCCTTGTAAGTTTTGTGAATGAAATTCAACACCTTACCGTGGTGAATGTGCAATCCCGACCACACG